TCATCATACTTTATAATATTTTATAATATTTCATATAGTTTCTTGTCGCTCACGGTCATCGAAGGATTTCGCAACCAATATATCGGTGAAATTACACTGTAACCCTGGCTTTTCCATGCTTTTCCACTTTCCAGCTGGGACCAGTTAACTCGTGAAGCTGGCAAATCTGCGGCCAAGTTAAATCAAGCTACCCATGCCTAGCTGAAAAGAAGTCTTGCCGAGCAGGATCACCATGCGTGCTCAATCAAGCACCAACTAGGAAAATGGACCACCTTTGTTACAACAAGTATATCAAAGGACACCATGTTTTAATCCTAATTACTCGATGACTCCACGGCATTCCACGACCCATTGCTCCTGCGACAAGCCATCTCCAGTGCCCAAACGGGCAATTTTTCCCCTGGCAAAGGTTCAGCTTGGGGCATGGCTCAGGATCTTCTCATTTTGAACGCAATTTTTGTGTAGACCATCTTGCAATACCTTCCATGTAGATCCAGGTATAGTAGCATGTAGATTTCTTAAAAAGACCGCCATGAGACCAGGGGTTTCTCTATTGAGTGGAGCTGAGTTGAAAAGGATTTTTTGTCCATGGACGGGCCAAAACTCGACAAGACATAGAAATTCTTTGCTGTCCTGCCTCTGCCCCTCGACTCATCAGGCGTGTTACTTGCAGTACGCCTTGGCAAACCGAGCAAGATCGAGCAAGATAAAGTAATAGTGTTGGAGGCAGCAATTGCCCCATGCTCGGGTGTGAACTTATGTGGGGCGTGGAAGCAGAAGAAGATGTGGGCAGCAGTTGGTGCGTCCATGGTTGTGGCCTGTGGCCCTGTTCCCCCTCCCAAGCAGGTCTTTGTGGAGTGAAGTTTACAGATATTGCTAAAGAAACTAGATGTGTAGCCAGTGATGCTAGTGGTAGTGTACTTTTTTAATTATAAACCTTGTTTCAGCAAGTGTCAAGGCAAACAATCCAGCACTCAAACGATGCAGCGATCATGCAAATCATGTCAACGGTACTTACAACGTTTGCAAGGCTGAAAACAAACACAACATATGAAACTACGTACACATACGTACACTATCTCAAGGATTCCTCCAGGCTATCCGAAGAATCGAAGAATGCCTATTTCCGTCCAAATCTGTAGCCATTGGGATCCCTTTAGCACCAGTGGCTGTTTGTTTCCAAGGCGCTGGTCTTCATTGTCAACGATGATGTGCCTGGGCCATACATCGTGTTGGATTTCCTCACTTGAAGCCCCGGTTCAAACCCTTTGGGAAAACACAAGTTTTTCATAGTTTTTCATGTTGTCTAAGTGTGTAAGTAATGATGTTTCATCATGTTTCATGAACATGCAGCAATAGGAAACTATATAAACGATTAGAACAAAGTGAATAAAGTGAGGAAATCACCATCCGGACTAGTGTTGCAAAGTGCTTGGAAGATGTTGGAACGAGGGTGCCAAATCCAGCCGAACAGAACGACTTTATCTTGAAGGCAAACTTGTGCCCATGGGGCAGCTCCAATGCATACCAGGCACAAAGCAGGTGTGACATCTGCTCGAGCACTCTCCTTATCCCCTGCGTCACCTGATCATTGGTCGAAATGTGTAGAAGTGTAGAAACTGTTGTCCCAAACTGTCCCAAGGATTCCAGTAGAGAATAGATCAAATAGATTCAATATGCTTCAGTTAAATTCACGGATGGTGGCACTTTTTTTTTGCATCTTTTGGACTCGGGTCGTGTTTGGCTGTCCCAATAGTCCAAGTGGCCCAAGTGGCCGAGGGATGGGAGCGTTGGTCGGGTTCGTGGCTTTGGCCGTGGGCCACCCTTCAGGGCAGGCATGGAGACAGCCATCATCCCAAGGCAGAGCTGGAAATCATTGGAAAACGCTGCTGACTTGGGGTCCAATATGGTCCAATCATCCCATTTATCTGGTTGACGAAAAAAAAAGAAGGAACCACCACCCGGGTTCTGTCGCAAGAGAAACTGATCCTGGTGGCTTGTGGATCCCCTGCAGCACTGCAGAAAGATTGAAGCTTAGCAGTTTATTCGGTAAATTCCATCTTACCTCAAAGAAATCCAAATAATATCAACAATCAAAGTGTGTGTGTGTGTGTGTGGCTATAATATGCTATAGTCTATGCAGTGAGAAAACTGAAAGCGACTGAACATACACCTCAACCGTGGATAGAAACGCCAGGAAGTGACGATCATATGCAGCTTTGCACGCCTTGGTTCTTGTGACCATATGTGACCATCTCTAAAGTCTGGAGCTGCCAGGAGCATTGCTGGGACATATCTGGACATTCCAGGCTTAGCCCCTTTTTGCGCTGCTTTATATCTGGATCACAGCGAAGACGTGATGCCAATGCCTAGGTCCCGAAAGCTTGGTGGCGGCAAGGCATACATCCGAGCCATCCGAGTCCACAGTAGTGCCTCTGCAACGAGCTCTGCATGGCTACACCTCTCTGCTGTCCGCAACTTGGGCGGTTTGTATTCAACTGGAATGTCAAGCGCAAACCAACCACTTTCCTCGGGTGTGCCCTTGGCCCCCTGACTAGGCCCCCTCAGGTACACGCTCCAATGTGACAAGTCCCGTTTAGTCCCGTTGGCGAAAATCAAATCGGAACCGGCATCGCCAACAATGTTAAGGATTTCTGTTCCGATCCGGAGTTGTGCATCAAGTTTCCCTGATGTCCATTGCCCACAAAGCAAAGGTGCATCTTAATCTTAATATTGTTCCTCATATTGTTCCATCTGGGTTGACATGTCTCACCATAAAGACCGGCTCAATGGCGTAGCTGCTTGACGCCACTTTATTTTGGCCTAACTGCCCAACCTCTGTCCATAACGCACATCTAAGGCACATGCTATCTTGAGAGGAAACTGCTGCCGCCTCAAAGGCTGTTCGAGAATGCAAACCGAATGAATCCACACCTTAGGGTGCGGGGGGTTGGGGGGAGTCGAAATGATCATGATATTATGATTTAATTTAAACTCAGACCTCTTTGTGTCCTTCAAGAAGCGCCTATTTTCCAAAGAACCAGCCTCTTGCTCTTTTTACACAAAAACACATGACTTATATCGCGGGTGTCTACAGTAACAGGCCTTAAGATATTTTTTTGACTTCGCACATTTGAATGGTGCAAATGAATCGTGAAAAGAAGTTCAAGGTGGCAGGGAGCCCCCTCAAAATTTAGGACGTCTGTGAAGCTGTTGGAACAAGTCAAGTGCACCGCGAAATATCGAAGCTGAAATATAGTTTGGATACATTGCAAACAGACACATGGGTATACGACCAATGGCTGTTGGGATACATTCGATTATCAAACAATTGTATATCCCAAGAATTTTAGATGACTTGATGACCTATCCAGGTTGGCCATGGTTGGCCCACCTGCTGCTTCACAGGGGCGCGCCGCCATTCTTTCCTCGGAGCCACTTGGCAAAACTCTTTGGACACTGAAAGGAACTGAAACCCGACAGCAGAGCCCTCCCAACCATCAACTTGTAACAGTTCCATACAGCCAAGCAACTTCTGAGAAACACAAGACACAAAAACATCACCCTGCCGGACCAATGGCTGCCGTTACTTCACCCAGGTTCTGATTGGGCAACTTTCCCATCTTTCGAAGCTCAACGATGCGGGTCTCTAGCTTTCTGGCCACGATCTCCTCATCACCCTCGAAAGAATCTGATTTCGGCTGTTGGTGTCTGGGCTCTGGAAACGGATCTGGGAACTGCCTTTTTGATCCTTTTTGATCCATTGAATCGTTGAATCAATGATTGCATTCGAACAAGCGGATTCGGGATGGCATTAAGATGAGTCAGTGCAGCCTCAGAGACTGCCATGTACCAAGGGTACCAAGGATCAAAAGTGAACAGTAAACGATGTGGCATACACTGCAGAATCGTTGAGATACATGTTCACTCTACAAACATGACTACCAGTCTAGGATAGTCTAGGCATGTAAATTATGAAGATGTATTGAGGATCCATGAAAATGCTTCCACCATCTTCCTCTCAACTTTGGGACACCTCTGAACATTGCACAAGAATTGCTTCACTGTCCCACAAGCTTCTCGAGCCTTGAAGCGAGACATGACCTGGCAGGGGAGATGGTCAAGCCACAGCCTGATAAGGGTTGACATACAACGAACAACACACTATATCCATGTATAATATGAATATGCATGTATGTATTGTAATCTAATCTAATGTAATGTAATGTAATGCAATGGTATGGTATGGTATGGAATGAATGAACGAATGAATGAACGTATGTATGTATGTATGTATGTATGTACGTACGTACGTACGTACGTATGTATGTATGTATATGTATGTGTATGTATGTGTATGTATGTGTATGTATGTGTATGTATGTGTATGTATGTGTATGTATGTGTATGTATGTGTATGTATGTGTATGTTTGTGTATGTATGTGTATGTATGTGTATGTATGTGTATGTATGTGTATGTATGTGTATGTATGTGTATGTATGTATGTATGTATGTACGTATATATATACGTACGTATGTATGTATGTATGTATGTATGTATATGCTATGTGTGTATGTGTATGTAGGTATGTATGTGTATGTATGTGTATGATGGTATGTGTGTATTGTATGTGTATGTATGTGTATGTATGTGTATGTATATGTATATGTAGATGTAGAACCGCTATACGGCCCAGAACGATTCTGCTATGTGCTGTTCACGATTCTTGTGAACTTGTAAGGCTACAAGAAATAATTCACTTCTTCGACAAGACAGCATGTCAACTTCTCCAGCATTTCCACCTTCAGCAAGCTGTCTCTATAGGTGACTCGACAGTCACAAAGTGTGAGCGCGCGGATAGTGGCCGTCCGACGTGCGAGCAACGGATTCTTGCACAGGGCCTCAGAGAGGAATACTTTCCATTCCGGAACATCGTGTCGATTTCTTCACAACCCTAAAGCAGAACCTGTCCTTTGCAAATTGTCGACCAGTTGCTTCAACTTCTGCCAAAGGCACTGCTATTTCTCCAAAGACTGCACCGTCTGACAGGGTGCAAACAGTTGTTCCACCGATGATCACTTCGACGTCTCCACGATGCAGGATGTACATACCTTACATTGACAGATTTGACAGAACATGAGGCCTTCCGGGTTTCACTTGAATTTGGTGACACGATGCGCGATACTGTGCTACCTGGTGCAGCTGTACGGCGCATGTGCAGCTGAGGTTCTATCTCCGTATTCACCCTCCGTCATGATATCGACGCCTGAGAGGCTGGGCAAAGCTCCATCTGAGCTCGTGCTGTGCACCTGCTAGGTGAGACTAAACCAGCTACTGATAAGCCATGAGTTTGAGCCTCGACAGTTTCCAACTCAACAAGTCTTGTTTTTGTTAGTTCCTTCCAAGTTCTGAGCCCACCTGGAGTGAAAAGTCTGTGACTCACCTGCAGGCTGACTTCCGAACAAAAGCTCAGGCGGCAAACATTTAAAGAAATATACGTATAGAAATATACACAACTACAATTAACAATAAATAAATAATACAACACAAATTATATGAAGCACAAGAATACGCATTGTGAATTGTGACATTGATTCCTTCATAATATTTCTTCTCTGCATTTCTCTGCAGTGCACGCTGGGAGTTTGAAAGTGGTACTCGGATTGGCCTGCTCTGCGATGGCTTCCACAAATTTTGGACTGCAATTCTGGAAGAGAGGGACTTCGCTGATCGAGGACTTCCTGGGTGGCACTTCAATGCACTAGTAATGCACTTCAATATACTTAAATGCACTTCAGCAATGCCAACCACACTGCGGCCACTCCCAGCACCAACAAGTCTCCCTTCACAAATCTATGTCAACGTCAGTATATACACCGTCAAAGAGTACAAGGATGCGCATGCAAGTCTTTGGGCATTGTCAATGTCATGCAAACCAAACTTGACGAGCTGACTCCAAGGTACATTGCCCTGAGCTCATCCATTCCAGCTTTGTCAAGCACCCTCGGCAGACAGGACGCAATTACTGACAAAGGTGCCAGGAGCAGAGCCAACACACCATGCCACAAGTGATGCTCATGTCAGCCACATGGCATCTGTACCATGGCAAATATTGGCAAGGCATGGCAAGGCAATTCCACTGTCGCTTTCATTCAGTCTCAAGCACTTTGACTCTTGCCAAGTGACCCATGCCCACCATGGCTTTCCACTTCCAAGGTTGGAGTTGGAATCTGAGTTGCGCTGCAACTGCGTGCTCCCTTGATGAATCGTGCTTAATTATTTTGCGTCTCGATTTCGCAAACAGTTTAGAATGAAAACAGGCCAACAGGAACTTCTTGGCGGCAAACTTTTCTCATCAAGCTGCCAAACAGACCCAACTATCTTCCAACCCCACCTTTTGACGGTCATGGACGCTTTATCAAGCCAAGGTGCAGGGCCAAAGGTTCTGGACCTTTGCCACACACTAAGAGGCTGTTCATCGCTAGACAAATCCTGGCTGCACCAGGGGCTGGACTCTGGAAACCTGAAGAATATTAGTTTATCCAAAGACAAACTCTGATGGGATTGCATGGGATTGCAGCGTATCTGGTTGGTGGAAACGTGTCGGGATTTCATGTCTATTGCGTGATTTTCTGAAAGCATGCCTAGTCTCAACATTGGACAAAGCAGAGTCATGCAGAGTCAAATTAGACAGGCTACACCAACCATTTAAAGATGACTTGGGCTTTCCCAGATTTCCTCACGTGCTTTCAACATCCGGGAGAACGCGACGCAAACACCGGTAATGCGAAGCAATGTCGACACTTGCAAATGGTAAACCAATGGTAAACCCGCAAAACTAGATGGTACCAAGATCAAATATTATAGTATATTATAGTCGGGGACACCTTGGAAGTAGAGACTGATCTGCTTACTACATCTGCCGGAGGCCAAAATCAGGCAAATAAGAAATGACCTAAGTAAGGCCTAAGTATAAACACCTGTAGTAAGCAGATATATGAACATATGCACCAAAGACAATTTCAGAATCTGCTTACTACAGCTCCGTTGTCCCGAAGTGTTTATGCTCGCTTCTTCCAGGCTCAAACTCTGAAACTTGCTGATGCAAACAAGTCGGAAGTGGCGCCTAATCTAGTGAGTGCCCAACGATGGGCGGAAATTGCCCAGGTATTGTTGTCGTTTTGGCAGGTACGGATCCAGTAAATGGCATGGCGAACGCGAGGTGAATATATCTATGGAAATTGTGGGTGTGTCTGAAAATAGGGGTATATGTGTCCCAACATGGCAATTTTTACAGGGAAAATGATCATTCAGCAGCAAATTTTGAGGTGGGGCACCCTATTTTTGGACAAGACCAACAGCAGAGGTACAGTAGAGTTAATCTCAAGATGATGCGGGGGAAAAAAATCTGCCTTGTACCGAGCCTCTTCCCCACAAAAAGTAGGGGCCACGCAGTAAGCAGGAACCCTCCCTGTGGTTTGACCAGGGCAGTAAGCAGCTCGGGGCTCAGAATGGGACCTTGTATGAACCCCTAAAATACCCTCCTGCTTACTACTTTAATTACTTTGGCTAGTTCCTGGGTGACCGTGACTATAAATGCCGTGAAAGTCTCTGACAACTCCGACAAGATGTCATCAAATCGCTTTGCGCCCTTCTTGCTTTTAGTGGACAAAGCGAGCGTTGGCCTGCGAGCTGCATTGGAAACATCAGATTTGTGGAGGGATCTGGAAAAATTGCAGAAGGATGCAGAAGGATCATCTGCACTGTGCCCTGTCTGCTTTACCCACTTCAACCACCGTCAACCCATTCCGACAAAAAACGAGACCACACGCCTTGCAAAACCAGGTGCCTCATCTTCATCAGATCCTGCGAGCCGACTTGTACAAGGCAGGAAGGTACTGCGGTACTCGGGCATTTGTGAGACCGTTTTTCCAGCAGTTCTTCAGCAATATTGATTGATAGTAATCCTGGACAACAAGGGATAACATGGGATGACAAGGGCAGGAACTCACAGATTTTCTGAACGGATTTATCAGGCCGGTCTCCTCTGATTGCCATATTTTTCAGGCTGATGGTGTTGGCTCTTCGTTTTGTGCGCTTCCTGCATGGCATGAAATGCTTCTGGATGCTTCTGGATGCTTCTGGATTTCACAGGAAAGTGTACCAATGAGAGCTTGGATGCTGCCAGCATGGTGAGGATCTTACAGAGGCATAGCAAGAGCATTATGTTACACAGAAATGCTGTGCATTCTGTCCCATCTGTCCCCAGTCTGACAAGGAAAAACGAGAAGAAGTATGGTTGAGAAACTGAATGGCTCATACTGAGTTCGTAAATAGCAATTTCGTCCAATAATATACAGGCATGAGAAGCGACAGAAGTAATCAGAATGTTGCGCGATCCCCCCTTGGCACCGTGGGGTCTGTCCTTTCACCTGAAAGCTCATCATCACTTGAAAACAGTACCATGGCGTCTCAACTGTCCGCGCGGACACGCCTGGCTATTCAGCTGTACGTGTTTCCAAATGCAACGCTGTGGAATGATTTTTCTTGTTACCTGAAGGTCCAAAGATAAAAACAAATGACGCTAAAATTGTACTTTGCATTCAAAAGTCATCAGGGCACGTAGATCTGGCTCGGAAACATAGTATGCTGAAGTCCCTGTGCCTCCCTCTCGTTATCTATGATCTTGTATGCACTAAATTTGAGTCTGGCCGGCAATGCACATAGCTTCCACGCTCGTCACTTCCAAATTTTGCAGTGTAATGAAACTCTATTGAACTCACAATTCATATAATATTCATTAATATTCATATATCAAGAAATGAATAATCTGGAAAACGGACCTATCTAAGCCTATGTATCTTCTGCGAAGAACGGACGACTTTTCTGGCTCAGCTCCAGGAATCGCTAGAAGGCATTAGCTCTACCAAGCAGCTGAAACTGCCAAGGCCATGACCAAAGGTGTGGAAACTTTGCTCCAGAAATTTGTGCGGAGATGCAACAAATTTGAGAAACAATTGAGATTTTTGGATCAAGGAGTGTTGATCTATAATGATCTATGTTGATCTCTAATATGCTACTTGCTCTGGCCTTGGCACTTTGGCTGCAGATCTGCTGTCGTTCATTTTCCTACGTCCTACGCTGCAGGTTCAACGGTTTGCCTCATCTGTTCGAGAAGCATTGACACCGGGTACATGAGGGATTTTTGAAGACACATTTTCAGGAAAGAATCAAAGGACAAATAGGAACAAAGACAATATGTAGACAAATCATGACACGTCAATAAGACACATATAATACACATGAGATGACAAGGAACACTGAATCTCCAGGTCCCAGCTGGACCTTCTGAGCTCAAGACCCTCGCAGCAGTCCTTCCAGAGATTTACTGCAAGAATCTGAAGTGGACCTTTCGTTGATTTTGGAGAAATCACCTGTTTTCAACTCCTTTGATGACTAATCCATTTCTGGACATGCAAAGCGTCTTTGGCTTTGTATGTGGACCTACTCTAAAGCCGAATGAGTCAGAAAAATCTAGCCTTCTTGGCCTTAGCTGACATAACTACTGAATATGATGAAACAGGAACGGATCCATCACACAATTGATATGCGTAGCCAAAGGTACTTCATTTCACAGGAGGCGAAGGTCGTGGGTGTGGCACCCAGTTCTGACCCTAGATTTGTCCTGGCTCCAGGAACAGCTGCCCGACTTGGCCTACAAAACATGCGACCCTTCACCGTTGAATATTGAACAATGCAACAATGTATGGAGTTGATACAGTAGCAAATTGTCAGAAGATGTCAAAACGTGCATGGTCTACATAGTATTAGACACTAATAATGATGATTATTACATTTACATTTATTACATTTATTATATACATTTATTGCATTTATTGCTCGACTTTTCAGCATTTAGTGAATTTAGTGTCACGACGATTTCGCGGCTTGGCGTTCTGCTGATTTTCTGAGGACATCACCCGCGTCCGCTTCCTTTGGCAGAGCGCGACGGCAGCGCCCTCAGGAGCACTCCAGGGGATGGAGATCTGATTTCGGTTCCCTCCTATCCAGTTCTTCCAGTTGAACTTTGTTACAACGGGACAAACATACGGTTTTGGAGTCTGAAATTGATGTGACCATTGATCCAAAACGCAGGCTGCAAAAAAGAGAGGCTGGTGGGATGGCCATGGAAGCATACACTTTCAAGCTAAGCACCCGAAGGATCCCGAAGGTAATGGGTCAGAATGAAATGTCACCCTAGCCTACTAATAGCCTAAACATCACCAAACTGGCCTAAACTGGAAGCAGTTGGAAAGCAGTGCAGGTTGCCTCTCAGACTCGCGGGGTACAGAATCTGAATTCGCCTCAGCTGTAAACGAGCCACTGTTTCGCAAACTTGCACTAATGCAGCCGCTATGATCACTATGTATTCATTTCTCAGAGCGGTTGCCAGAAGACGACCTCTTTATATCTTTCAATGTCTTTCATCCACGCAAATATGCAGGGGTCCTGTCCATGCAGTTTGACGATGTTTGACGAGTGCCTCAACATGTTTTTTTCAGGAGCTGAACCTCCTCGGGCGGCTCTGGCTCTTTCACCTGTGCTGGGAAGCCACACAGCTGATGGAAATGGATGGAAAAACTGTTCATTTGTCTAACATTGTTTGACAATTGGTTGGATTCCTGAACTTGGCTATTTTGATGCGACAGCTTCAAGCTGGATACCAGTAGTACCCGCACGAGGCGGGGCGGAAGTTGCCTTAAAGATATATATAAGACCTTTCTCATCTATAGAACTTGCATGCGCCGTGCGCCAGCGAAGCCCGTGCGTGCGTGCACTCTGCGAAACTGGTGTCTTGTTTCACAGGTCACATTTGAAGCTCCACGTCACACTTCACACTTGACAGTCTTCACACTCCACACTACACACTGCACTCTTCACACTGCACTCTGCGCACTGCGCACTCCACACTTCACACTTCACACTCCACACTTCACACTCCACACTTCACACTGCGCGCTTCCCACTGCACACTCCACACTTCACACTCCACACTCCACACTTCACACTTCACAGTCCACACTTCACACTTCACACTCCACGCTTCACAGTTCACACTTCACACTTCACACTCCACACTTCACACTGCACTCTTCACGCCCCACACTTCACACTGCACCCTTCACACTCCACACTTCATCTCATCTGAGCTCTTCTCACCTTATCCCAGCTCATCTCTTCTGATCTCATCTCTTCTCATATGTCATCTAAGCTTTCATGAATCACTTCCCAGCACTACTACTAAGGAACTGGATCTCGACGCCAAAGCGACAAAAAGACGATCTTGAAGCACTTTTTAAAAGGAATTTTAAAAGGAAAATTATTTGCGCCAAAATTGGGAAAATCTGCTGACAAATCACTTTCGCAGCCTTGATGCAGCCATTCCAATACGATTTACGATCTTCAGCTGCAAAAGACAATAGTATTACGCATGCAGCCGCTGCGCCAAGCAACCTTGACGCAGCCACTACAATGCGATCTGCAGAGACTGAGTTGCAAAACACAATAGAACTACGTGCAATGGCGTCGGAAATTGCAGCTCCACAACCGGATCTCGACGCCAAAGCGACAAAAAGACGATTTTGAAGCACTTTTTAAAAGGAATTTTAAAAGGAAAATTATTAGCGCCAAAATTGAAAAAATCTGCTGACAAATCACTTTCGCAGCCTTGATGCAGCCATTCCAATACGATTTACGATCTTCAGCTGCAAAAGACAATAGTATTACGCATGCAGCCGCTGCGCCAAGCAACCTTGACGCAGCCACTACAATGCGTTTCGCAGCATCCCGTGGCAAACCTACACCTATCTACGCACGTGGCAACACCAAATGACAACAATCATGCAGCCATTCCAATGCGATCTGCAACCACAGCTCCAAGAACCGCATAGAACTACGCACACAGGAACAACCACTCGTTGCAAAACACATAGGAGGAACAATTCGCGCATGAAACGACCCCAGCCGCACCCGCCGCACAGACGAGGTACCTTACTTCGCCGGCTGCAGCCACTTTACACGGAAAAACGCAAGGTTTCGTGCTCCGGCTTCCTCCCCAAAACATAGCCCATGCAACATTCATGCAGCCATTCCAATGCGATCATGCAACCAGAGATTCAAGAACCGCATAGAACTACGCACACAGGAACAACCACTCGTTGCAAAACACATAGGAGGAGCAATTCGCGCATGAAACGACCCCAGCCGCACCCGCCGCACAGACGAGGTACCTTTCTTCGCCGGCTGCAGCCACTTTACACGGAAAAACACAAGGTTTCGTGCTCCGGCTTCCTCCCCAAAACATAACCCATGCAACATTCATGCAGCCATTCCAGTGCAATCTGCAACTAGAGATTCAAGAACCGCATGGAACTACGCACGCAGACACAACCACTCGTTGCAAAACACATAGGAGGAACAATTCGCGCACAAAACGACCGCAGCCGCACCCGTCGCACAGACGAGGTACCTTTCATCGTCGGCTGCAGCCACTTTACACGGAAAAACGCAAGGTTTGGTGCTCCGGCTTCCTCCCCAAAACAAAGCCCATGCAACATTCATGCAGCCATTACAATGCGTTTCGCAACATCCCGTGGCAAACCCGCACCTATCTACGCACGTGGCAACATCAAATGACGACAATGAAGCAGCCATTCCAATGCAATCTGCAACCAGAGATTCAAGAACCGCATAGTACTACGCACACAGACACAACCACTCGTTGCAAAACACATAGGAGGAACAATTCGCGCACAAAACGACCGCAGCCGCACCCGTCGCACAGACGAGGTACCTTTCATCGTCGGCTGCAACCACTTTACACGGAAAAACACAAGGTTTGGTGCTCCGGCTTCC